CGACCCCTTAATACAGTTCCTCATGTTGTGGTGACCCCCAACCATAAAATTATTTTTGTTGCTACTCTATAACTGTAATTTTGCTACTGTTATGACTCGTAATGTAAATATCTTTTTGTTTTCAGATGGTCTTAGGCGACCCAAAGGTCATTCGACCCCCAAAGGAGTCGCAACCCACAGGTTGAGAACCGCTGCTTTAGAAGGAGCAGTCAGACTGCTCTTCAATTGGAAGGCCCCTTGCTTTGGTATTTATACAAATAAGCTCTTTAGCACTTACTCATCTGCCAGCTTGGCTTCCTATCACGAGCAATATTTTCTACAGCACCTGGCCCTCGACAGGGACTCAAACGCCACAGGGGTTCACATCTACCCATGCTACTTACTGACAGGATCATGCGGTACTTGAAATTGGGAAATTCACGGTCACACTTCTCACAGCGGTACAATCCATTCTGTTGATCAATCACTTTCTTATTGCAGTCCTGAGTTGGGCAGGCCTGATACAGACAGTTCTCTTTGCGAAGGAACACCACTGTTGCCACAGAGCTAAAATAGTCCGCCTTCAGGAGAAAAGAGTGACAAGAGACATTGAACACCAGCCTACGTCAGGACTGGACTGAGAGGCAGCCCCAACCAAGTGTGCCCTTACATAGAAGTGGTAAGTGTTTATGTATTCTAACCACAGTAAGTCACTCTATAGTTTTAGAAACCACTCATGCTACCCATAAAACCCATGAAGGTAATAAACCAAGTTCGAAAGCATAGAATTCCTTAACAATTAGAGTTCATTCTAAATTCGGCTAAATTCATTAATGAAAACTGAGAATGAGTAGATGAAAGATAAAGACTTCAAGTGACAAAGACTCATTTCTCCTGTTCCTCTGACCCTTAGAAGGTAACAGATGTAGGAAATACAGAGCAATGCAGTAAAATCGAATGCAGCTATGTTTAACCGTCCTACATTAAGAACAATAGCAGTGTTTACCTTTATCTGGGCCAGGGGTCAGCAGGCTTTTTCTGTAAAAAGCCAAGCAGTAAATACTTCAGGCTTTACAAGCTATTCGGTAACAGTCTCTGTTGGAGCTACTCAACTCTGCTGTTTGGGGCAAAGCACCCAGATAATACGTAAATAAAAACACATGGCTCTGTTCCAACAAAACGTCATTTACTACAGGCAGCAGGCCGGATTTGGCCTGTGGGCTGGTTTGTCAGGCCCTGGTCTAAGTCACAGAATTTAGCAAAATGCAAAAATAACTGACCGAAAAAAAGAAAATCTACCAAAAGTACAAAGTAATAAAAAAGTATCAGAATAAAAAAAAATACTAATAAAAAATAAATAAAACGGGCCGGCCGAGTGGCACGATGGTTAAGAGCTGGCTTGGGATGCCAGAGGGCCCTGGTTCAGATCCCACATATGAGGGCCAGTGACACTGCCCTCCACAGCTAAGATGCTGAACAACAGCTCAACCTGGAGCTGGGCTGCC